CTAGAAGATATCACCCGTACTATAAGTAATGGTGTCTAATTGTTATCATTTCTATAAGCTCTGCTGACACTCTGAAAAGATGTAAACATTTGTGATGTCTGGGATAATCTGATTCACTAGAGGACAGGTTTTATGTTAAATATATGAATACTCTGCCCAGTAGGTTTCACATCTAGGCATCTGCTTTATGTGCTCAACAAACACAAACAGAAAAACAGCTCCCAGAAAACTTAACACCCTTTGGTATTGAAACTAATTTCTGGACATTGTACAGATACAAATGACAGAATGGGGTGGAGAAGAAATGGGAAGACTGGAATTTTATCTCTTTCCCTCTATCTATACTTACTGAAAGGTTTTTAACTCATGGCTGCCTCAGGAAGAATCACAGCAAATAGAGGGATAACACTGTCGGTATAAAAGCATTTTTGCCTGTTTGCATGACCTGTTTCATATTCATTTAAAATACTGATACCAACCAGATGTTCCACAATGATGATAAATTTAATTTATTTCCAATTTCTCAAACTCTTCTACAGATTGAGGCAGCACAGTCACAGCCATTAGCTCACTGAACTGGATGCATCATTGAAGGAATGGAATTGATCAGGCAGATAGATTGCAGTGCATGGCTAAGAGTCTCCTAAGAAGGGAGATGGCAGAAATCCAGACATCAAATAGATGATGAAATGGCCTTTTCCATTAAGGGAACATCACATCACAGATATTAATTAGGAGGCACTATAATAAAGTTAAGTGGATGTGGGGGAAAATGCTGAGTTAAAAGTCACCCCAAATGTCCTTAGCCTAAGGTAATTACAGATCTGAAGGTAAGTCATGGCTCTGCAATTTTCCATTCATTTTACAATGGCTGCAGGTACGTTTAGAGATTATGTAAAAGGAGATTAGAATCCTTTTTTTAGACTGGGACAAGTTATCTTTAAAAAAAGAAAATATTCTATTGTTTTCCTTTTAACATTCCTGTTTAATTCCCAAAGAAAATGACATCCTTTATTTACATTAACAACATTAATGGAGGATAACGAAGTACTTACTACTTTAAAGAGAAATTAAGCAAATGAAACCAGTTAGCTTTAAGTTTAAATGCATTTTACCAAGATTTTTATTTTGTTGTTGTTGTTGTTGTTGTTGTTTGAGCCAGCGTTTTGCTCTGTCGCCAGGGCTGGAGTACAGTGGCGTCATCACAGCTTGCTGCAACCTCTCTGTCTCCCGAATTTAATCAATTTTCCTTCCTGCATCAGCCTACCAAGTAGCTGGGATTACAGGCATGCATCACCAAGCCCAGCTATTTTTTGTAGTTTTAGTAGACATGTGGGTTTCACCAAGTTGGTCAGGCTGGTCTCGAACTCCTGACCTTGTGATCCACCTGCCTCGGCCTCCCAAAGTGCTGGGATTACAGGCATGAGCCACCGCGCCCAGCCTTAAGTTTTTCATTCATCTTAAAAACTGACGGGGGCCGGGCGTGGTGGCTCAAGCCTGTAATCCTAGCACTTCGGGAGGCCGAGGCGGGTAGATCACGAGGTCAAGAGATTGAGACCATCCTGGTCAACATGGTGAAACACCGTCTTTACTAAAAATACAAAAAAAAAAAAAAAAAAAAAAAAAATTAGCTGGGCATGGTGGCACGTACCTGTAATCTCAGCTACTCAGGAGGCTGAGGCAGGAGAATTGCCTGAACCCAGGAGGCAGAGGTTGCAGTGAGCCGAGATCGCGCCATTGCACTCCAGCCTGGGTAACAAGAGCGAAACTCTGTCTCAAAAAAAAAAAAACTGATGGGATATTTTGTTCTAAGTCTTCAGTTCAAATTCACCTTAACAGCTAAAAACTTAAAATATTTTAAACATAATTTTTCAGTATAATTTGAATCAGTATATTTTGGATGATAAATTCATCTTAAAAACTGATGGGATATTTTGTTCCAAGTCTTCAGTTCAAATTTACCTTAACAGCTAAAAACTTAAAATATTTTTAAATATAATTTTTCAGTATAATTTGGATCATAATCACAATTCTGATACAATACTCCAAGTTACTATATCCAGGAAAAAAATTCCTTTGCAGAGGTTCCAATCTTAATTTCCTACATAAACTCAGAAAATTTAACATTTTTATTTTTTTTGCCTTCACCAAAACAGCAGAATCATGGGGATAAAAATTTACACAGGATGTCTAAATGGTATAGAATAACTCATTGAAAGCTCCTTTATCAACGGGACCTTTTAAAAGATAAACAGACATCAGCCAAAAATGGTGCAGTAAAAACCTCTGAAAACTCTCTCCTCCCGGAAAGCAATGGGAACACTGTGAGCACCGTGAGAATCAACTGAAAAGTAGCCAAAGGCTTGCGGCAATCCAGGGAGTGCTTATTCAAAAAAAACCAGCTGAATCTTGGTAAAAACAATAAACTTTGCAGTGTTTTATTTGCCTTATTCCCATCCCACTCTCCCAAGCTCCATCTCGGCCTTAAAAACCAACCTTCCTGAATCACAGTAAAAATCAGCAGCCATCAGAGTGGGCAAAAGAAAGCTGAAGCTTCTTAAAAGCCCAATTCTCAGAGAACTGTCATTATTTGACCTGTCTGGTGGTCCCCTGGAGGGCCCGCTCAGAAGGCTGTCTTTGATTGCCCAGTATGAAGAGCCTAATTCTTGTGAGGGTTTGCTGAAAACAATTACAGGCAATTGTTTAACACTGAGACTTCTTGAGGTGGCGGCTAACAACTGGGGCAAATAATAGGCTAACCAAAAGCTTCAAAGGAAAAGCTGAAGAATCACATGTCCACCAAGGGCTTTGAAAAGTTCTAATATATTAAAATCATAAGGAATCTAGAGGGCTCATGCATGACCATGGCCATATCAATGCTCAGGAAAAAAAAGAGAAAGCCTTCAGCTCTCTCTTCTGCCTGATCTTTACAGGAAGTGAAGGCTAAGGCAGAGGCATCACCTGCTTAGTGTAGTGTTGAAGGTGGACTGCACCTGCACATAGAGCCCTTCAACAAAGACTGAGAGACTTACTAGTTTCAAGCATCTAAGGAAATCTGTTCAATCAGCAGCTGACCACTAATCTAATGAACAAGGACTTCATTGGCCATACACAAGAAAGAACATAGACATCAAAACTTGTTTAGAAAAGTCATTTAAAAAAACAGCAAGAATGATGAACTGTGATGAAAGAGAAAATCTGATTTCCAGGGTCACATTACATTATTTAAATGTCAAATTTTAAACAAAAATTAGGAGACGTGGAATGAAATGAGATAGTATGGCCCATATTCAGAAAAAAAAAAAAAAAAAAAAAAAAAAAAAAAAGGCAGTCATTCATTAGTAACTACCCCTGAGGAGCCCAGATGCTGGACTTAGTAGACAAAGAATTTACATCAGCTATTTAAAATATACTCAAACAGCTAAAGAAAACTATGTCTAAAGAACTAAAGAATAAGAATGATACCTCTCAAATAGTATTAATAAAGGGATAGAAATTATAAAAAATAAACAGAAATTTGTCATTGAAAAGTACAATAACTGGAAAAAAAAATTCACTAGAGAGAGTGAAAGCAATTTAGAGCAAACAGAAAAAAACAATCAGTGAACTTGAAGATAGGTTGATTGAGATTGAGTCTGAGGACCAAGAATAAAGAATGAAGAAAAATAAAAGAGCTTCTGAGCCCAGTGGAACATCGAGTGAATCAACAAACACATAATTGGGAGTTCCAGAAGATAAGGAAAGGGGCAGAAAAAATATTTGAAGAAATAATGGCCCAACATTTACGAAAAATTAATCTAAGCATTCAAGAGGTTCAAAAAACTTCAAGTAGGATAAAGTCAAAGAGATCCACAGGTAGACACACCATATTCAAACCACTGAAGGTGAAAGACAGTCTTAAAAGCAAAACATAACAAAGAAAATACACTCTTCTAAAAGTTGTCTACGAATCTCTCTGAGGCACAGGGTGGCTTCAAGATTAGACCTTGGAGTCTTAGTTTTGTCATGTATGTCACTGGAGGTAATGTGGTTGGGTACACATTTTATATAATTCATGGGAATAGAATAACAATAAACTAAATTCTTCAACCCAAATGAGTGTTTAGACCCCTAAACTAATCTCTAAGCAGTAATAGATTCTAAGTGGAAATAAAAAATCCACTTTTGCAGAAAAAAAAAAAAAATAGTAACAGCAACTGATGGTGCATTAATGGCAGTTATGTGGGAATGAATACTCTTTTAGGTACTTGGATAAAAGGCTCAACTTATATACAGTCCCTGATTAAGAGTTCATTAAGAGATATGATGTAATCGCTATTTTTCTTGGTAGTATATTCACAAGAAAATACTGTTATATAATGATATCTCAGTCTGAAGAAACAAAAGAAATTTAAGTCCCTATAACAGACCTAAAGTATACATTTGACTAAATTTCCCCCCTCCTCCTCCCATATTAACTTAAAGAAATCAAGAAGAAACACTAAGATAATCAGACTTTTTCTTTTAGGATTCAAAATTAGAGTAAACAAAAGGTTGTTGATTTACTTCTCTAAACAATGTTCCTGTGCTTCTTATATTTACACAATGTCTTCATACTAAAGTACAACAAACCACTTGAAATTTATTTTTAATAGAAACAAATCACTCTCAAAGTACAATGAGAGAATTATAATAGAATACATACTCAAAGGTATATCACTATGCTCTTCTTAGGAGCATTATTTTATCATAAAATTTCAGACTGGGCATAACTGAATAGTTTTTATCCCTGTTCTTCAGATAAAGATGTCAGTAAAGAAAAGATAAAGATAAGATGTCTTACTTAAAATTAGGAAAATAAGGCTGTAATAATTTCAAAAACTAAGTATAAATTAATGGATAAAAATATTGGGACTAACGCCCATGGAAGAGAAAAGCTATAGTGGGTAGTTTCTACTCTTCATGATAGATATTCACAGATGGGGAAGACTACCCCATTTTCCAGGCTTCCCAAAACTAACCTGTGATAATTAGACATTCATTGTGATCCAGCACCTCAGTGAAGAGCCGTGAAACAATCAACTCAGGATTGATTAAAAAGCGGATTTCTTCTTGCACAAGTCCTGCACTGGTTACACCACCTCCAACAAAACGATTTGCAAAATCCACCTGTTTGGGGAAATGTGGCATATTAAATAATGGTCAAAAATACCTACATATATGATCAAGAAGCACACAGTTTCTAAGCTCTCATCTTTTCCCCTCCCATGAAAATCAACCCCCAAATAAGTAAACTTCCCAGGAAGGGCAGATTATGGTTACTTGCACTCTTTCCATCTCACTGCAATTAACATCTCTGCTTATTTCTCTGGATCACAGAACCAGAGAAGGATCTGGAAAATGGAGCTTTTAGGCATAATATTATGTATCATACAGACTCTTGTTTATAAACCTATTTGTGTCTCAAGGGCCACAAATCAAGGGGAGGGACTTTATCTGGGAAGGTTTCAAAGTCATTCTCCCCCATTCACTACTTCACGTGACTTATATAATTACACATTTCTTAGGTAATACGGTAACCGAACACTTGCCCTAAAGAACTGAAAAGTTTAGTAATCAACTTTTGGGGTCACCTTTTCCAATCTTATTGATAGAAAAAAGAGATAAAATTTTTGTCCTTCTAAATTCAACCCCAAACGACATGAACATTACAAACTATTTTTTAAAAATATAACTAAGGAAAAAAGGAAGACAGAAAACCCAGTATAGCAACAAAGATTCAATTAAATTAATTTGGTTGGAAACTCTAAGCTTTATGTGGAGTCACATGGCGGCATCCCCAAATTCCTACTAATAAGGAAGAGTTACACAGTCCTCCAGAGAAACTGAACTCAACTTGCTGGCATTACTTCCATTTGTCCAGTGTGTCCAGCACTGTGCCACCCTCATGAGGCAACATGTAAGAAACAGCAACCATCTTTCCCTTAGTGAGACCATCTGAGGAGTTAGATTACACACACACACACACACACACACACACACACACACACACCCCTTGTGTACATATACAGTCATACACATAAGTAAAATAGAATTTACTAAATATCACAAGGCTTATATGCTCTCCAACTATTCAAAAATATATGATTTCTTAAACCTTCAGTGTTCTCTAAAGCAACTGATATTAAATGACAATCTGAAGCCTATTTTATAAGATAGTAAAACAAGAATATGAAACATTTTATATGTAAAAATATATGTGAAAAGAGACATAAATTAATAAAAGGCGAAGTAGTTTTTACCACAGAACTTAGAAAACACTAAAATATACCACTGAGGAGTTCTTCAAATGAGTTACCAGAATCATATATTTGGATTTGTATTCGGAAGTACTAAAATCAATGCTAAAAAAACAGAGTAACTCTTTAGCTTATACAGGAAAATATTTTTGGTGAAACCAGTTTGTTGATTAGAATTAGTTGCCTACTACATATGAGGTCTGGACTGGGTGATTCATGGCTTAAACTGTTCAATTCAATAAATATTTACTGAGTACTGTGCTGGGAACCATTGGATACAAAGATGAATAAGATGTGTATGATTCCTGGTCTCATGGCATTTGCAATCTAGACGGGAGTCAGGCAGAATGAGAAGATGATTATTAAAGAGCTTGTTACTATACATATTTCCTAATAATGCAATTAACTAAAATTGGAGCAGGAGAGAAGATAGGAAAGCTTTACAAGAGGATGTCCCAGCTGACATGCAGGCTGAGGGCATAGATGCACAAGAACACAGGGAAAAAACTGTAAATCACTGTATGAGGGGAATGGTAAAAGATTCCTCATGCTAGCATGCAGTGTAGAGTAGCTGGAGGCTTGCAGTTGGTGATGAGGTGGGTCTGAGGTCAAAGGAATTTTTTTTACTCAATTTCCCCAGAACCTCTGAAGGTTCTGGGAAAGATTCAAGTAACACCTGGACCTATGTTTTAGAAAGATAATTCAGGCTAGAGTTTAAAGGATGAATGGAAAAGTGTAAAATTGAAAGTAAAAATGCTGGTTAGGTGACTACTAAAAAATTTATACAAGTACTACTGGGGCTTAAAAAGGAAAGCGGTAAAGGAATGAGAGGAAACTCAGTAAAGAAATAAAATGGACTGCACTTGAGAACTAAGAGACTGGCTGAGTGCCTAGAAGTATAATGATATTTTGCCTACAAATGAGAAACAGATGAGGTTTAAGATTGGCTTAACTTAATTTTTACTGGAATAAGGTACATAACAAAAATAAAAAGATAAGGTCTATCCAACTTATGTTTTACTTGATAATGATCATGAAATACATTCAATGTGTGTGCTATTGTTCACTCTTTGAATAAAAGGCCAACATTTTTAACTTGAAAGGTGTGCACAGAAATAAAGACCCTAAACTCAGCATGCCTCTAAAAGCAGGAGTCTTTTAGAAAACCCAAGTTTTACTACTTAAAAAAGTTCTTAACAATAAAGACTCTCTGTACCAGTTGAGAAACCTGTTCCAGTACATGAAAACAAGAATGTGAGTGCATCTTTATTTTCAGCCAGTTATCTTCCAAGTCACTTTAAAGCTACCTGTTCCAACTACTCAGCTTCTGAATTATAACTTGATGAAAAGACAGGAATGATAATGCTCCTCAGAGAGGTTTTGTTGTTGCCACTCAGCATAATGTAATGTATATGCTACACCAGGAGCTTTGTAGCACTGCAATACAGTATTTATTCCCTGATCTCCTGGGGAGACATGGCATAGGTAGGGAGAACAATTAATAGCAAGAAGCCCTTACAGTATTCTTTTAATCTACCGAGGTCTCACATTTCATCTATTACATAATTCCAAGGAAGTGGGGAGGATCTCAACCTTAACTGTTGTTAAATTCCTTGTCGAATTATACTGTAATGAAAAGTCAGCATTCCTGTGGTGCTAACTAGCAGTAACTCTGTTTAGTTCACGTGTATTAAGAATCTCTCAGTTTATCCAAGACTTCAAAGCAGGAAAGAACTTCATCAAGAGAGGAATGTGGGGGAAGACGTGATATTAATGTAAACCAATATTTAAGTCTATTTTAAGATGATTTTTTAAACAGAAAAAAGGTACAGGATTAAATACAAATTTAAATATGTTTTGTTCTGTTTTGTTTTTGTTTTGCCAAAGTTAAACACAGGAAAAATATTAATTCAGCTATTCTAAGTATTTTTGTTTATAAGCTCAAATAACCATTGGGAGAAGGTGATTTAGAAGAAAACATGGTTTATCTCTTTGAAGATTTTAATTACAAATATGTCCAAATATAAGGCCATTTAAAAAAGAATCTCAGTTTCATTTAAATAATAACTAGACACAAATTTTATAGTAAGCCTTAAGTTATTTAAACAAATCAGTCCATTTTCAGGCAACTGTTTTCTTTAGATTCTGAACCAATATAAGCACCAAGTAAGAATCCGAGGAAAAAAAAACTATTCTCAGTATAAGTGAGATGGTATACAAGCTTCTTTCAAAGAAAACTCGTGCCGGGCGCGGTGGCTCAAGCCTGTAATCCCAGCACTTTGGGAGGCCGAGGCGGGTGGATCACAAGGTCAAGAGATCGAGACCATCCTGGCAAACATGGTGAAACCCTGTCTCTACTAAAAATACAAAAAAAACTAGCTGGGCATGGTGGCGCGTGCCTGTAATCCCAGCTACTCAGGAGGCTGAGGCAGGAGAATTGCCTGAACCCAGGAGGCGGAGGTTGCGGTGAGCCGAGATCGGGCCATTGCACTCCAGCCTGGGTAACAAGAGCGAAACTCCGTCTCAAAAAAAAAAAAAAAAAAAAAATCTCAAAGAAAACTCATTTACAACGTTCTTATAAATGGGATAAGAACACGAAACACTGACATTTTGTCTCTGATTAATGAATTTTAAAGAAGCACTGTAAATCAAAAAGTTAGGTTAGATATTACTGTATTTTAAACATGGGGTTTTTGTTAACCTCCTTTTCCAAAAATACTTTTTAAAGGTAAAGGCAATAACAGATTATTAACAAAGATTGAAGGGTAGACAGAATTATCTGCTTTTAACAAAGAAAAGACATAGCAAGCATAGCTAGCTCAAATGCATGAAACTGTTACATATAAGAAGCCTTTCTTATCAATCAGTTTTAGATGTCTGCCCCCTCAACCTAAACAAAGCTACTGGTGGCAGGAAGACATCTCAAGCTGGTCATCAACTGGGGCAGAGCAAGAAGAGCCTTTAAGGAAAAAGAATGAAAACGCTTGGTGACAGTCTGTCAAGACTATACCCTGGGAACTTCCTCCACTGTCAACGTACGATCAACGTCTGAACCAAGAGGACTGATGCTGTCCAGATCTTGCAATTTTCTGTCAAAGGCTCTTTAGAGAAGCACATGTAAGAAACAGAGAGTATACCCTGGCAAATAACAACATTACCAAGGCTGTCAAAGTGATCTGTTTGGTGTTTTTCTTCATTCTGCTATCATGCTTCTTTGCATTAAATCAGTTTAGGAGACAAATAAACAGCTTTTCAAATTTCTTTTGCTATCAGAAGCTTTACAAGAGAAAGTCCTAACCATACATAGGCACTACTGAGATTCACCTACCTGTAGCATGCCTCGGCCATTTCCTTCTATGGTACCTTCGTAAGTGACATGCAATCGTGTCAAGGGTTTTTCACATCTACAATGTAAAAAGATATTCCCTTACTTATTGTTTTAATGACAAGTCATTCACTCTGGACAAATCTGAAAATACAAGCGACTATTCAAAAACTGAAACCACCCCAAATCTCAAAAGCCAGAAACAGATGCCTACTGTTAACATTCTTGGTATTGATCCTCCTCATTCAAACACGTAAATATACATATTTAAATTAATATGGGATAACATATCATTTGAAACCTGCTTTTCCTCTAAATAATATGAAGATTTTCTTCTTTAAAACAATTGAAAAACATTTCAAAATATAAAAAAAGGAAGATCTATGAAATTCAATTATGGCTAGAGTTGGCAATCTGAGGAAAAATGTAGAAAAAAATTTGTCAGTAAATCATATATGATTCTCATATGGCCTCTATTTTCTATTTTCACTGTTTGATAACTGTGTGTGTGTGTGTGTGTGTGTGTGTGTGTGTGTGTGTGTGTGTCTGTGTGTGTTGTGGGGATGTCTTGATGAAAATACATGCCACAAGGGTACTTTTCTATTAATAAGGTTAACAGATAAACCTAGTATCTGTAATTGAAAAGGTATAATTATTTTTTTCCCCTTTCAACCACAGTCACTGAGGTATTTACTTGGCTTATGTTATATTAACAACAAATGTCATTGTATTAATAGCATTTGATAACATTATTTTACTTATTAGATTTTTTCCCCTGATCATTCACTGAATAAAAAATAGAAATTATTATGAATGTAACAGAGGAGATCCAAAGGTCTAACTTACATAAGAGTGCCAATAATTTTTTTGGGGGGAGAGGTGGGGGAGGGGCAGGAGGAGATGATTCTATTTTTAGAAAATAGTCCAGGAGGTTAGCTGGTAAGTACTGAGAATTGCTTGATTCCTTCCTGGTTTCAATGAATTTAAATACACTTCTGGCAAAACTCCAGCCCAACAGACTGATAGCTTTAACTCGGAAGGTAATTCTGTACAGGTTCTGTCTAAGAGCTTTATTTATATTAACTACTTGAATCCTCTCAACAACCCTATAACTATCTCCTTTCATAGATGGGGAAACAAAGCACAGAACTTCTAAGTAAGCTAACCAAGACTAGTAAATAAAGTAGCATAGATGTGAAACGAGATAGTATCACTCAATTGTACAGGCTCTCAATCAGTATGCTCTACTTTTAGAAAAATTACTTTCCCAGTCAGTCTCTTGTAGAAAGCAGTATCATGTTAGATTTTTTTTTTTAACTTCCTTTTTAAGGTCCTACTTTCATAGCCGTTTTATTCAGAGGAAGACCCCTGTGAGCATACTACTAAAAAGTTTATAAACAAGCATAATCTAAAAATCTCTGGGCTGTCAGTCAGGACTTCAGAAGAGGAATTCCATCAGATATCAACTATTCTCCATGACTGAAGCTAGAAACTTTATAGTATAGCTCTTAATAAAATTATGAAATGGCTAGAAACTTTTTTTGGGTTTTGTTTTGAAGCGTCTTCTAATTTCCTGATAGGTCATCCTCTATACCCCTGCTTCAGGAGTCAAAGACATAGATGATCAGGGCTCTAATTAAGCTTGGCAAAAGTATTTGCTGATAATCAAAGGGTTAATTATACCATGCCAGAAACTTGGAATTCAGAAAAGCCTCTAAGCTCCTGGCACCCATTTAGCCCCTTACTCTTGGAAACACCAACAATCCTCATCTCTTTTTCAATCTCCCTCTTTAAGTGAATGCATGTTTCTGGTTCTGTGAAGTCTAGGAGACTGATTTTAATTACATTCTCCAACTCACTTAAGAAGCAGCTAAAACAAAAAAGAGATCAATGAAATAAAAATAAGTTAGCAAAGGTATCAAGTTAAATTCTGCCTATCAAAATTAAGGGGACAATCTTGGTCTCACTTAGAGGCAAAGTTACTGTGTCTCACTGACACAGCAGCCTTGCCAGTCTCTGCATTTTGACCTGTCCCTTTTCTCCCACATGGTGGTACAGAAATGGGTGTTCTTTCACATTAGTGCCAAATGAATGTCAGATGCAAAGTAGAGATCCTGGATGAATTAAAAATAAGCCCTCAGATTTATCTGTAAAATCTACAGCAAAGTAACAGGAACAAAACATCTCCATTACTATGAGAGATTAACAGAAGAGTGAAGAAAAACAATCCTCTGCACCATAGAGATGACACAGCATAATGGTACTTTTAATTCCAGGCACCATATTTTAAGAGGGCCGAATGAATGGGACTATGTTAAGAGCAGAGATAAAGGGTTTAGGATTCATATTATGTGTGAAATAGAAGAAATGAATCAGTTGAGTATGAACTTGTGTGCACTGTTAGAGAGGGAAGTAGGTCAAGAAGTCATTATGATACATGAAGAAGAGTTAAACAAAACTAGAAATTCAGATTTATTTATGAAGCTCCAGAAGGAAGAACCAGGAATGGTGGAAAGTGAATATAGAAGACTTTTAGTGAATGAAAGCATGAGATGACAACACAAGGAGCCACCAATGGAACAAACTGATGTGAAACGGAATCTGCCATCACTGAAGCTATCCAGTTTCCATCTGTCGCAGGTATTACAGAGCTGATCAACAGTTTTAGCAGATGGCTGGGGTTCCTTTCAGATCTAACATGCCATGATGCCAAAATGCTGTACATGTTCTCATCTTTTTCTGGCTCATTGTTTTTTCTCTCTTCAGGTTGCTTAACCTTTTATCTACTTCCCTCTATTAATAATCATCTAAACCATGCACTCTGTCTTCTGAAGTAAATTTCTTTTTCAGTCACCTCACAAATAAACATCTTTGATGGATGAAAACACCACAGGAAAGCCACCTAAGCAAATATGACTTCTCAGGTTAATTTCTTTTAAGTGATTTCCATTCATCACTAATTCCAAACCAAACAATTACAATCATAAAATTATTAGAAAGTGAAAATGGGAGGCATTGGTCAAATACGTGTTTAGTATGCTTCATCATGTATTCCAACATATTTAAAAAGTTAATCCACATTTCTTTAAGTGTCCTGGGAGACTTGCTTTAGATTAAAAATAAGTTAACTATTTCAGGACACTAAGGCTCTTACAAATCTGAATTAGCTCAGATTGGCTGCTATCTCGTCAATATTTTCTGATAAATAACAAACAGTAAATACAATTTTCCACAAAATCTACCAGCAGTGCACATGGGCAGCCAAAATTAAAAATTCTTGCCACTTAGACAAATTTTAGATGGTTTGTTCACTAAAATGTAAGTAATAAAAAGACTTCTCAATCTCGTCCTCTAGAAAGAAAAGCCATGAAGTTCAAACGCTAACCAAAAAAAGGGGAGGAAAAACATTTAAATATTTGTGTTCTTTTTATTAGTGTCTTCACATACAACACTCCTTAATTCTAAACAGGACTTTCTTTCTGAAGACAAAAAAAGACAAAATGGTAGAAATCAAAGAGTTATATGGACTTTGATTTAAAAGGCACGACCTTTTCAACAATGAGAGCTATCAATAGATCATTTATGAGTAGAAATTCCCTGGCACTAGGATAATTAGAGGTTGGAAAACCATCATTCCAGGTGCTATAAAACAGAATCCTCTCACAATGTAAGAGTTCTTTAGTTCTAGGGGTCCAGGATTATTTTTATTATTATTGTTACCTTTCCCACTCTGGAAAATCTTCAAGACTTTGTCTTGTAAATGTCACCAACCCAGTAGGTTCTATAGAAGCAATAAAAAAAAAAAATACCCAAAATAAGTTTCAATTTTGAAAAGATTATACACACATACATACACACACACTCAGTAAAAGAATAAATCTAACATTGGCTATAAAACTCATCAGGCAATATCAAGCCTAGCATTGGAATATAACAGAATATTGATTGAAAATAATATTATCCTTACAGTAGAAACTCCTTCTACACAATAATAAGCCTTCACTAAACAAAACTATACAAATAATAGCACAACAGGAGGATTTGAGCGCTGGTACTTTTTGGTGAAGTTTTTGAAGCTGAATACACTTTTTTAAAAAAAAGCATTGAAAAAAAGGATGTACAACTGGTATACCTTTGCAATAAAGACAAAATTGAATTTCAATTTGTAGACTCCTTTACAAAGAAAGAACTTAACCCTACATTCAAAGACTGGTGAACAGATACACATTTATGTACTTTAAGGTAAGTGAAATGTCACAGATTTAAAAAGGAAATCATTTACACATCCTCTGGAGTCAGTACAGTAAAGTCCCGGGCTTAGATAGTGGGCAATCACTCTACTTGCTAGTAGAGTCTTAGCCAGAGGAGAAATTACTGGTTCTAGGAGTTTACAGAACAAAGATGACATATTTTTCAAGGAGCAATGAATTTGGGAGAATTAAAATGAAGTATTATTAATGCAGTCAATAATTTTAGAGGATGAGTTCCTTTTCTAGTCAGATTTACTTTTTTTAAAACTAGTAACAAAAAGAAACAAATAAATCAGCTGGCCAGAAGTAATTTGTCTTGATTCAAATCAAAGAACAAACTAAAAAGGCCATGCCATTTCTGTTTTCTTGAATAGAAAAAAAGCTCTTAAGGAAAGAAAGAGATGTCAGGAACTATTAGTGATGACGGAGTACAGCCCAGTAAAATCCTGGCCATCATCATTTCATTCCTATGCACAATTCCACATTTTCTTGTTCTCAGTCAAAAGCAGGCACCGCTAAAAAACCATATGGAGCAGTTGTGGTAGAAAACAAAATTTTATGTTAACATGGGTCATACTTTCTTTAGATATCTAACTTTAAGATAAATGGATAGCATATTTAAAACTCACAAGTGGTCAGACAACTCAAACACTAGAGAAGTAATTCCATGAATATAACAGACCATCTATCTTGTCATTCAGTAACTTAGCAGAGAAGTAAGAACATTAAAATGTCCTTCATATATACAAAGAGATGCTAAGATAAATTCATAAACACTGCTGGCAAAGCAAGAAAAGGCAGAAGAACATGGTTTCTTAGATAAAATTATTAACAAAAATGCCTTGAGAGCACATCTGTTAGCTTTCTTTCATAAAAAGGGAACTTTCATCTCAGAATAGAACACTTTGGTTAATCAAATACTTCCCATAATAAAGTCACAATATATGCTACATATAGGTCATAAATTTCCAAAAACCTGATCTATAAGATACTTTATGTAAAACTATGTAGAAAATAATTTAATTAAGAAGGCTCTTTAAACTCTTTCAGTCTCAAGATCCTCATCAAATATAAAATAAACATGTTTAACAACAGCGAAAAGTTGGTCCTGATGGAATTCTAGTTTATCAATTCTAAAAGGCACGTTTTTTCACTTATTAAATTTCTGAAACTGGAATACATCTTTTATAATAGAGGTATCTTACCATAGGTCTAGACTAGAGGTGAATTTATTCTGCTTCTGCTGTCGTCTGGGAGCACCACCAGCCCAATATCATCTGAATCAAATCGTTTGTGGCAGGCCTTTATGGACCACACTGGTGGTAAGGCTGCATACCCGAAGCTTAGGGCTTGTGGTTCAAATTCTCAGAGAAACGTTTTTTTCCTTTCTCTATTTAGTGTCAAGGTTGAGACTTGTACATTTCTTTATGGTCCCTTTTCTGGATGGTCAAGTTAATTTCTCATTTATCCTTAGGTGTACCACTCTTGTGAGTCAGGTCTCCTACTAAACTCCCTGTCCTGTGTGTTTTTTTCCTTCTTAGAGGGATATAATGTAATAGCACTTAAAAAAAAAACAACAAAAAACAAAAAACTATGACATCTTAGATTTGGTGAAATACAGTACCTAAAATAAGCTTCTGAAGTCTATTGAGTAGGCTCCAGAACTTCTATACAGCTACTCATTAAACTGCAACCTCTTTTATTCTCTTTAGTATTTCCTCCTTAAGCTGTCAGCTTTACATACTGAAGACCAAGAGCAATGTTATACTGTATTTCTACAAAGAAGTTAATTACCATGTATAGTGAATAAGTCAGAAAATAAAAAAATGTCTACTTGTATTTCTTCAAAGTCCCAATATTTATAATGGTATATACATTTCTAGTTGAAAAAACAAACTTTTAGCTTTTTCCTCAAAGTATGTGAAATCCTAAAATTTAGAAAGCCAAGAGAGTTTTTAGAGAAGACGTATGTGACTTGACTCCCAGGACAAAAAAGTGAACTCTGGGTCAGGCACGGTGGTTCATGCCTGTAATCCCAGCATTTTGGGAGGCCAAGGTGGGCAGATCACAAGGTCAAGAGATCCGGACCATCCTGGCCAACATGGTGAAACACCAGCTCTACTAAAATATAAAAATTAGCTGGGCGTAGTGGCAGGTACCTGTAGTCCCAGCTACAGGCAGAAGAATATTGCTTGAACTCAGGAGGCAAAGGTTGCAGTGAGCTGAGATTACGCCACTACACTCCAGCCTGGCGACAGAATGAGACTCCATCTCAAAAAAAAAAAAAAGTGAACTCTGTATTACTTAGTTATAATAATTCTACTTAAAATGGCAACTCAAAGTACTGTAAAAACAAAACAAAAAATAAACCAATAGTAATAATGCTAATTAGACCTAGAATGGCCAAAGAAAGTAGTCATCTTTTTAATAAGTCATTACAATGCAAGTTCTAATTTGATTTTATGTCTCATAGGTCCAAATGATTCTGCATTTTAATATTTCATTCAGTACAGGGCACAAAACTAAAATTCAAACTACAAGATAAATAATCCCACATCAAAGAAGCGTACAATTTTCCCTTAAACATCAAAATCCTGATAATTGATTTCTTTCTAAAAATTTAACAATGTCCAACAGCAACACATTCAATGGGGAAAATGCCAAGTACACTGTAATGCAAGAGTAAAAGAAAAATATGAGAAAAATGATCTTAAAATTATCCAAAGACGTTTTAAGACAATCCTACAACCCAGAACTGAAGAAAAGCCATTTCACTTGACGAGCTTGACCTTACCTACTTAGCACAAAGAAACTTTTGAGGTGTACTGGTTTTCACCCACTTGTAGGAAAGGCTACCCATTGACAATAGCTTACATTTATTAAGCATGTACCTTCTTGTTTAATAACTATAACTACCCTACAAGGTATTGGCCATTATTATTTCACAGATGATAAAACTCAAGCTTAGAGGTGTCAATAAACTCGACCACTGTCATTCACCTTCTGAGATAACAGTGGCAATACCAATCTATTATCAGCTGGTCATTACCAGTATTTGTTGGACTGTCTCAGCTGCTATCAGGTTCTGGGTAAGCAATAACGTTAAGGTTCAACAGAGGAAGGTGGAGATACAAAACTCAGTACAAAACAGTTTTATAAGAAATCCACAAAGGGCTTAGGAGGGCACAAAAAAGAGGAACGGGTAGAAAAACAATGAACTAGTTGACTTATGCAAATAAACTAGTGAATACTTCTTTAAATAAAGAGCATCCAAAATTTATTTCCTGGTCAATATAATTTCTCTGGTTTTTATTCGTGAAAATCCTTTGATGTATGTTACAGATTTCAGAGAATATGGGTCTGATTTCAGAGTATGTAAACCCTACCCCACTACATCTGTAGCACACATTATGCTTATACACAACACAAGCATAAAATCTAGGTTATATCGAATCATGACTACTGTTTCAATGTGGTTGGAACAGGAAGATTTACGTTAAACACAAAATGTTCCTCACGTGTCACTTGACTTGAACTGTTTCCATCAGCAAGAAAAATTACAGTAAGAATGAAAGGAATTTACTTTTCTCTGTGACTCTTCTAAAGTAGCAGAAGAGCGTTTTAAGTTTCTCTGGTTTCCTTGATGAACGTCCCTCAAACAACCTAAAAGAGATAAAAAATAAGAGAGTGGAAGATGAGTTAAAATGCCTTAATAATTCACAAAACTACAACCACATTGCAACCAAGTAATAACAAGAAATAATTCTTCCAGAAGACAATTCTGTGAAGATAAGAACTGGAAAATTGGTTTACATTCAAACAGTATCTGGAGAGGACTGAAACCAACTAGAACCAGGCTTCTTCAAAGCTGTTCAAATCAGACAGCATTTGCTACCAACCACATTTCTCCAACCTATCTTCCACCATGGAGAAAGCACTATCTAGCTCCCGAGCCAATTAGGGTCAGTCAGTTAATGCACAGCCACTTTCTCAATGGCTAATAACATTATACTTCATACATTATTAGGTAGTTTGATAACTACCAAAACAGTATCTGAAAAAAAAAAAAATCCCTGTATTAGCGTTTGCGATGAAATGAGAGTGGAGGGGAACAGGGGTTCCATACACAGGCAGGTATGACAAGATATCAGGGCTCAACAGTCCTTGTTACTTAAACAAATATATTCTATTATAGACTGAATGTTTGTGCCCTCTCAAAATTTGTATGTTAAATCCTTAATCCCTAATGTAGCTAAATTTGGAGATAAGGCCTTTGAAGAGGTAGTAACGGTTAACTGAGGTCATAGGGTTGGGATTCTAATCTGATAGAACTGATGTCATTTTAAGAGAAGGTGAGACTAGAGTACTCTCTCTACCACGTGAGGACAAGAAGGCAGCCACTTATAAGCCAAGAAGAGAGCCGTCATCAGGAACTGAAGCAACAGCACCTTGATCTGCAGCTTCTAGTCTAGAGAATCATGAGAAAATGAATTTCTGTTGTTTAAGCCGCCCAGTTCTATGGGATTTTATTATGGCAGCCCAAGCTGACTAACAGAGCTTCCTTGCATGGTAACCAAAACAGTGTCTACCCTGTGTCATCTAGTTTTCAGCAACCCAGACTTGCATTACTTAATTCAGTTTCTTTTGAAATGACGTGGCATTGTTACTGGTAACATATAATTCAATTTATTCCGAGGAAAGAAAAGCAGGGCTTTAAAAGCATTATGACCTGAGTAAGTAGTTCACTAAAAGATTTCTAACACAAAAGCATGCTTTTGAGCATAAGATCTAGCTTTCCAAAGGCATTTAAAAATTATAGAGACTCAGTGGCTACAAACGATGAGATATTATTCATCTGCCTCTAGTCATGTACTCTGACTTTAAAACCAGAAACCCTTCAAGTAAAAGTCCATGTTAATAAGTGCTGAAATGGGTAATATTCTTCATGATTACAAGAGCAAGCTTATGTAACTATGCTGAGAGGAAAAAGTTAATTTCATGAGAAAATCCTATTGAGCAACTGAAATAAATTAGGAAAAAGGAAGGAAATGCAAATTTCAAATGGTTCCATTTTCAATGATCTGAAATCTGTATTCAGGGTCACTTTCTGGAAAAACAATTTATGTGAATATTTATTTCCTAAAACGAACACTAATGTAGGCTAGTATTTTAACCAAATCTAAAATCAGATCTCTTTTTAAAAACAGTTTAAGACAGCCTGTGTAATAATTTGTACTTATTTAAAAGAACATATCTTTCTGAAATATTTAATACACATACAGCTGCCAGCTGAAAGAAAGGCTCTTTGAGAGTGCAGGTTTCAGCGTGGCTTCTTCTAGAATAGAGTTTATTTAAATCAAAATGATAGCCAAAATGAAAAAGCTACTTAGCAGTATAATTAAACATCCTATATCAATAAATACGATTTACTAAATGAATACCTTAGGATCCACTTCAAAATCTCTTTCTAGGCTCACTATGTAATAGAGGAAATCAGTATGAATATAAAAGTGGCTACTAACTTTTCCTAGAGATGAATTGATGTACTGTACAATTCAATTAAGGAATAAAAGATCCTCTTCAGTAGAACTATTGCATAGTGAGGAGAAAATAGCTGTTTCTCTTAAGAAATAATTATACAAAACGAAGAACAAGCATCCCTAGCTTCCACATGTGATCATCTATGTATAAAACCACATAAAAGGTCACATATTTTATAACCATGATGACAAATTATTAACTTTAGTAGCCTCGTGAGACTGCAGATTTATTATCCTGGTGAGACAAACTTTCCTGGAAGACTTTATGGCTGTTATTATCACCCACTGCAAATGAACACCACTGTTTATTTTGCAGGTCCAAATCTTAAAGGTGCAAATCAAGCAGAATCTCAATGTACTCTGTTTATTCGCTGCTCCAATCCTAACTTCAAATCATTATGCAACCAAATACACTTTCCCATCTTTCTGATAGAGCAGGGGGAAGTGGGGAAAGTGTGGTGGTGGGTGTCGGGGGTAAGAAGGAGAGATAAAGTCAGAGATGAAGCAGGTTTAAAATACTTGTGGTAATTCTCAGACATGGCTGTTGTGAAATTTTAAAGTTTTATGCACAGCCACTCAAATAAAATGAATCATCCTGATATGGAAGGCAAGTAAAAAGAACAGAAACAGACAGGCAAACAGCATGAACGAAGTCATCCCAGGAATGATATATAATATGAGGGACAGCTTTTGGGGGTGAGGAGGAAAACAAAAGAACTGAGGCTGGATCCCAAGAAAGGAGTGAAGGGGGAGAAGAAAGATGGGGCAGGGAAGATAAGAGAGAGGAGAAAGGCTGATAGAAACGGTGCTAGAGACAGAGAGCATGAAGCACAGACACACAGAAAGAAAGACACACACAAACAGGCTCAGAGAAAGTGAGACATTCTCACAATCATTAAGCAACGTTCCCCCGAGACACTTTTTTTTTTTTTTTAACTTCCCAACACCTTTGTTTTTTAATTTAGATTTTTCAAGTCCTAGGTATGTATATTTGAAGGCCTATTTTGAGTCAGCAGTGTGCACATAAGCCAGGTCACAATAACTCCTCTGCATGTAGGGAAGATATTTGGGCATTTAATTAAAAGATAGTTATAGATTATTAAAGAAATCAAACGGAAAAAGCCAGTCAGGCAATCTTACTTTATTCTAAACAAAACCATATTTTCAATGAAAGAAGTCAGTCAAAGGTCAGATACTTATTAGCTGGTGTTTTCCTTTGCATATTTATAAAGAGAAACAGAATTTAATAAAATCTTTCCCTGAATGGAATACTGATATTACTGGAATTTTATTCTAGGTATATCCATCCCCACCGCCCCATAACCCACTATGCCATTTCAAGTTAAGTAATAATCCCATTAGTATACCATAAATCAAGCCTAAAGCACCACAACTTCCATTTTAAAATATGAGCAAGTGATAATCCGGAACCCAACCAGAAAGTCATTCCTGCTCTTCTGTGAGGCACTCTGCCATATGGCCCCAGCAGCATTTTCAATCCAGGGAAGAGGCAGATGTAAAACCCTCCTGGGCTGACCACTGCTGAGACCCACAATTTATCTCTGACCATCTAGTTTCCATGCAAACTCAGAAACATCAATGCTAATCACATTGGAAGCCTTTATATGAATGTTTAGGACCTGAAAGGCAAGCAGGGAAAAAGGTCAGGGGTATTTAACATAACTAAGCAGGGCTGAAAGAACACAGCAATAAATAAAAAAGGGAAGACTTATTCAATTTATTGACGTCAGCCTCCCACCACATACTCTTAGCATTTTTCTTATTCAACTAGCTACCCATACCTCTTTTGAGATTAAATACACACACACTCACACACACACTCACTTTCTTACACCACACACACACCACTCCCTACTGCTAGAAACTATAATTGTAAGTAGAAACTATGCATAGAAGGTAACAAGGCAATAAAATGCTACATTATCAGCTTACCAAATGGCTCATCAGATTAAGTACTGGATCTTTCAGAAGCCACATGAAAGACAGGGGACTTTTGGTTGTTTGCCATTTCTGGAGCACTCTCAGAGCATTTTGCTCATGACAGGCAGTGTGATATAATAAAAGAACACTGAGTTTGAGTAGAAGACAGTGATCAAGTTCCAGTTGTGCTAACAATTCATTTAATCTCCCTGAACCTTATCAATAGAGAGGCTTCCCTACCTAGAAAATTCCTTAGGCAGAATCAAAACAAGCCATCAACAGACAGCATCAGTGGTGATGCACAGTCGTTTTTTACTGTTTGCTAGCTTAGGCTCATTAAAACACATACCATCTCAAAATGAAAGGCAAGGGCAGACATCATGGCTGCTTAGGATTCTCTACAACATTGTGGAGACTAACACTGGCTTACCTGCCTTAATTCATTTTCAGTGTCATGGTATCCAAAAGAACATTCATCAGCTAGGAAGACAAAAATATGTCTGATTTCAAATCTTAAACAGACCTACTTAAAATCTTATCTGGTGAGAATGCTATTTGCAGCAAGCTTAAATCCCTCATTGTCACTCTGGACTTATAAATGGCTTTAATTCATTTAATAGATCAATAATTATTTCTAAGAACAGTTCTAATTTCTGACTAGCCATGAGGTAAGAAGGATTAATTCAGTTCATTCAAAGGGAGACTGTGTAGCAGAATGGTTAAGGGACACAGCTTCTCAAAGACTATATCCTGCATTTGACTCTCAAGTCTATTAGTTAACTGTGTTAACTTGGTGACGTAACCTACCCTCTCTAAACTTCCATCTCATTTTTTAAAAATGAGAGTAACAATTCCTAAGCAATATCTAATTCATATGGTTAATGTGACAAGTAAATGAATTTCAGATAATGCTGAGTAAGCTAAGGTACTTGTGCTAAATTAAGGCATTACATAATACCCAGCCCCCCCACCCAAAAATCAATATTCATTTACATAAAGCAGTTGCATTGTTCTAATTAATATTCCCTTCATTTTAAAAAATGGCCCAGCCTTGAGTCCCATCAAGCCCAACATGCTGATATTCAGAGCTAATCAGCTCAGTCTTCAGGATAAATGACGATGTACAATGAAAAAGATAAACCTGCCATTTCCAAGAAGCCCCAGTCTTCCCCAGTCAGAATTTTGGCTGAAAAACGAAGGTCTTTTAAAATTAAAATATATATTAAAATTAATGTAAATTCTGGTAATTGGTGACAGGAAATTGGAAATCACCAAAGCTAAGCCTTCTCAAGGCATCTTGACTTCTGCCTGTCAGCCATCCAGCACGGGTGGGTCTTTACTGTTGAGTAAGACAGCTGTCAGCATTGCAGGCTCCCCACAGGATTCTGTGGATTCCATTTCTTCCATAAGAAATAAAATGCTATATGCTGAATAGGTAAAATGCGTTAAGTAGACACAATGAAAATGTGTCTATGGAGGTGTAATTGGAAAGAAACTATCTGCACTAGCTTTCTGGAAAAGCCTTAAAAAATCTATGAAATTCCACCCTCAAAATCAATTACAAAAATCGTCTACTCTTATTAACTTGATTTCTGACAACTGACATGTTCTTCCCCTTACCTATTTTTCCTTCTGCATGTAAAAGTAATATATGGGCTGGGCACAGTAGCTTACACCTGTGAAACAGGTTCTTTACATAAACTGCAATTGCAGATTCCAATGCTCTATTTTCTCTCAATTCTGCCCCAATTACTAACAAAATCAGAGGTAAAAGCTATGTTTAATTATATGTGGCTTAAAAAGAAAATGTCTCATAATTCCTAAGACTAAGATATAATATGAAAAGCAAAAGACAACAGACTGAGAACAAAGGGTCTAAGTTATAGTCTTAGCACTCTGCCACTAACCAGCTCCATTACTCAAAACAAGCCACTTAATTTTATTCTCTAATATTTCAACTGTAAAATTTATTTTAATTCATTCAACAAGAAATTATTGAAAGCCTACAATGCATGAGATTTTGTGAAAGTAACAAAGAAGAGGACAGTTAAGATCCCGGTCCCACTGAAATGATTAAATATGCAATTATGAAGTAGGCTAGGTGGTACAGTAGGAAAAGTAGGGGACAGTAAAGGCGCGCATTTGGTTGTACGTACATAAGAAGTACACTGGATGCCTCTCTCCACCCATTTACCAATCCAGCCCATCACTATTACTCTGGCTACCCCTTCAAATGTCTCCACATCTCTGTCCTTTCCCCTACACTATCCTAGCTACCACACTCTCTTTCCTGGTGCATTGCAATAACCTCCCCAATTGAGTAAACTCATGTACTCTGGCCTCTCTCTGCTTGACTCCCAAATTACAATCAAAATAAACTTTTGAAAATACAAATCTGAACATGTGTGTTAGTCTCCCTCTATCCTCATTATCTAATCCTCCAATGACTTCTCATTGTTTTCAGATGGCCTACTAAGGCACAGCATGGTCCAGCCTCCACCTACTTTTGTAGCCGCTCACCTCTCCATGCTCCTTTTCACTCTCTGTGCTGTAGCCACTGTCTTCTCTCAGTCCCTGGGCATGTCAGGTCCTTCTTGTGACAGTGTCTTTGTACATAGCCTTCCCCCTGCCCAGAATGCAATCACCTCTCCTTCTCCTTGACAAAAACTCTTATTCACCCTTTTGTACTTAACTCAAAAGTTACGCCGGGCATGGTGACATGCACCTGTAGTCCTAGCTAGGTGGGAGGAGCTCTTGAGCCCAGGAATTTGAGACCAGCTTAGGCAACATAATGAGACCATGTCGCAAAACAACAACAGAAAGAAAAGTTATTTCCTCAAAGAAAGTTTCCTTTATTAAATTATCATCTTTCTTTAATAAAATGTCATGGTGTGCTGCACCTCTCCAGAGGTACATACAGGCTAGCATAGGAACCTAGAGTAGCAAACCTATCCTATCAGAATCTGAGTCACCAGAAAAACTGATACGTGAACTGAGTATTGAAGGAGGAATAAAAGCCATGTGTAAAAGAGAAGGGAATCTGGTCAGTCGTGAGGTTTGAAAATGAGATAATGCTACATAAAGTAGGAACTCAGAAATTGGCTTATCTTCTCTCTGTAACCTCAAGGCACTTAATACACTGTGGGGAATATTGCAGCTACTCAATGTATATTTGAAATAAATATTGACTAAATACCAGTATCTAAAAACAAACTTAGCTACTGTACTAATTTGGAAAACAGATTAAAAGCATGACCTTTGCAACTAATATTTATGTAACCAAAGAGCATATTATATAAACTACCCTGTTTGCTGACACTAGGATTTTAAAGAAATTTTCTTAGATAACATTATTTTTTCATTCTTTGCTGCCTCTTCCTTAGGTTGACAGTGGAGAGTAACTGTATATAATATCAAATTACCATCAACATTTTAATGTTTGAGGGTCATAAAAATATCACCCAACAATTATGACAGTCTAAGAGCAGCTTATATTCAATTCCTCTGCTATACTTTCATCTGCTAAACACACACAGTAAATGCACTGAAATATCTAGTTTTTAAATGTTTTAATTAAAAATTTATATTAGGAACTAACCAGCTGAATTCTAGAATTCTTCTCATCTTAAGAAAGTGAAATGTTCTCCAATTTTAAAAGGCTCAAGATAAGGCCCTTGGGGCTCACACTCTGATACTGGAGAGAACTGTGAATTCATTTCTCTGCCGCCATGTGGAGTTATAAGAATGCTGCCCATATAAAGTAAGTTGTATTAGAAACAATGATACGCTAGTAGCAATGAGCACACCTATCACCCAGATGTTGGTCTCTAAATACCATTGTATAATAAAAGAAACCAGGAATCCTTGAGAAAATGGTTGATTCCAGGATTGAGGCATGGAAAATATAAGATGAATCTGGAACAATATATAATTCCAGAAAGAAAGGAAATGCTCAAAAAAAGGATGGGGCTTATCAAAAGAACAGAGGAGCCCACCTAAAGGCCAAACCTACAATAATTAAAGCAGTAAAATAAATAATACTGCCGGGCGCGGTGGCTCAAGCCTGTAATCCCAGCACTTTGGGAGGCCGAGACGGGTGGATCACGAGGTCAAGAGATCGAGACCATCCTGGTCAACATGGTGAAACTCCATCTCTACTAAAACTACAAAAAATTAGCTGGGCATGGTGGGGCGTGCCTGTAATCCCAGCTACTCGGGAGGCTGAGGCAGGAGAATTGCCTGAACCCAGGAGGGCGGAGGTTGCGGTGAGCCGAGATTGCACCATTGCACTCCAGCCTGGGTAACAAGAGCAAAACTCCATCTCAAAAAAAAATAAAAAAAATAAATAATACTATTTAATTTAAACTCATACAACAAAATAAATATCCATGAGTCCATTCTGATATTTTAAAAATAGGGGAGAAGGGATAGCTCTTCCTTACAATGAAATTCAATTAGCAAATGTAGAAGAGGGAAACAGGAAATTCACAACAGGCAAACACTATGGTAATAATCATTGCAGGCAAGATCCAACAATGGATGCTAAAATCAGTAGGAATAACAACAAAAGTTCCTATGAATAATCAAACTGAAGAGGCATGTGGAGTCCAGAGAACTGAGAGGAAACGTCTGAGAGGACAGAAAGAACATGGGTCCTGGAGTATGACAGGCCTGAAATAAAACCTCAGTTCTGTGACTTACTAGCTCCTGGATCCCAGTCGAGTTATTTCAACCTTGATGAACTTTAAGCACCTTGTTGGCCCAATGGTGAAAATGTCACTTAAGTACTGTAATAAGACAATTGCATATAAAGTTCTTGGCCTGTAGAATTCACTAAAAATATATTATTTGTCCCTTCCACCTTTGTCTTTTCCATTGCTAAAGAGGTGTTTTCTGAAAACATACCGATTGAAGTTAATGTCTGGGTAACTAGAATACTCCGATTTCATCTTAGCATTTCGTCGTGGAAATGTGCAGAAAAAAGCATTAGCTAAAAGACTGGCAATCTGTTCCTGTGACATTGTGATGGAATGATTCATCTTCTGTTTCAGGAGCGGTATTGGCTGATAAAAGAAACAAAAAATATAGACGAGAAAAGCAATAATTAGTTTAGCAATTTCAAAGCAGAGGCACCAAATTGCATTTACTAAATTATGGCAGAAATAATTTCAGGCCATTCTTGAATCCTTAAATCAGCAATATTATTAAAGTCAAGAGTAGTTTATCAGGGATGATTGAGAAAATGTACTTACTTGACAAACTGCAGATTTCTAATCAATAGTAATGATAGTGAAGAGAATATAAAACATTACTTACTAGTGAAAAACAAGATTGCTTCAGCAAGTAAATAAAAATACATTGTCCATATAATGAAAAATGAAAATAAAAGATGAAACAAAAATATGTAACATTGCTTAAGCTAAATTTTTTTCTAATTTATATTAAAAATTATTGGCCAGAACAATCTTTCTTAGTCCTAAATAAAATGATCTAAGGAAGATAAGCCGGGTGCAGTAGCTCACGCCTGTAATCCCAGCACTTTGGGAGGCCGAGACGGGTGGATCGCGAGGTCAAGAAATCGAGACCATCCTGGTCAACATGGTGAAACCCTGTCTCTACTAAAAAAAAAAATACAAAAAATTATCTGGGCATGGTGGCACGTGCCTGTAATCCCAGCTGCTCAGGAGGCTGAGGCAGGAGAATTGCCTGAACCCAGGAGGCGGAGGTTGCGGTGAGCTGAGATCACACCATTGCACTCCAGCCTGGGTAACAAGAGCGAAACTCCATCTCAAAAAAAAAAAAAGATCTAAGGAAAGTAATTCAACAATTAAGTCTTTACCCTCTTTTTCCAAATTACACTTCATGCTGACAATTTCTTCATAAGAAATGTAACTTCATTAAAGCAATTAATAGAACATGTAAAAACCACTATACAGACATGTAAGTTTTAACAAGATAGACATTTCTTACATAACCAAACATTCCAAGTCAAGGAAGATGCAAGAGACTTTTTCTTCAAATCTTTTATGTCTAAAATGTCTTCTAGTTATACCACCAAATTCACTTACCTTTTACTGTCAGTATAATCCACACGACCTCAGCATTGTGTTCGGTCGGCTTTATTCTGTTTGTAAACCAAAAATAAAATTCTAAGCCCCCCAATCGACTGAATAAACCCCTCCTCTATGCCAAAGGGATTCCAAAGTTAACCTGAAACACTAGTCCACACCACGATAGGAAGGGTGGGTCCAACATGCCTCACTATATGCTCCTCATATTAGAATTCAGCACAGTAACCAGCATTAACATTAAAACAGAGACCTGAACCGATTAAACAGATTTTTTGTTGTAATAAGACTCAATTCCAGCCTAACTCTAGTACAGTACCACATGACAAGATAGCAGGCCCTGGAAGAATACCCCAAAATATATTTCACTGACATATGTTTTGAAATAGCCCTCAAAAGCTGTCTGTTGGGAAAATCTACATTCTGTAGAGAATGCCTATTCCTTTCCAGGTGAGAAGTAGGAAAAAGGCTGGTACCTTTTTAGTTCCAATAAAAGCCCTGAGCCTGGTACCTGGAGCTTCATCTCCGTGATAAAACCTTGGTCTCCATAAACCCTTATCTTAACCCAGATATTCCTTTCTATGAATTCCAGGTCTTTAGATAATAACTCTTCCAATTGCCAATCAGAAAAATATTTGAATCTACCTATGACCTGGAAGCCCTCCTTACTGACTGATACACATTTTATTTTTTGGGACCGTGTTTTGCTCTTGCTGCCTAGGCTGGAGTGCAATGGTGCAATCTCAGCTCACCGCAGCCTCTGCCTCCCAGGTTCAAGTGATTCTCCTGCCTCAGCCTCTTGAGTAGCTGGGATTACAGGCTTGTACCACCACGCCCAGCTAATTCTGTATGTTTAGTAGAGAAAGGGTTTCTCCAGTTGGTCAGGCTGTTCTCGAACTCCCGACCTCAGGTGATCCACCTGGCTCAGCCTTCCAAAGTGCTGGGATTATAAGCATGAGCTGCTCTGCCTGGCCCAATATCTTATTGCCTCTCTAAAAAAACCAAGCTATAGCCTGACCATCTTGGGCACATGTTCTCAGGATCTCTTGGGGCTGTGTCAGAGGCCACTGGTTACTCATATTTGGCTCAAAATAAATCTCTTCAAATATTTTACAGAGTTTCACTCTTTTTGTCAACATATTTTAAATGTTAAACTATATTTTTAAAGACATGCAGAAAAAAATCAAAGACCAACTACTAGTTTATCCGTCAGCTGTTAAGTTTCAAAATGCTCCCACAGAATATTTCGAGATGCTTTTCCTTCTCCCCTGCAGTAAGACCCAGAACTAAGAGTTTCAGGTATCTGTATTCATCTCAAACTGGCATGCCTAGAGCAAACTGTGCTGATCATACTTGAGGAGCTGACACCCAGAATGAACCTGAGGAAAGGGCAGGCAAGACAAACCAAAACAGCAGTGCTAGAAAAAATAACAGATTAAACTTGCAATTCAACTATTTCTCTTGGGAAAATTCTAAGGTAAACAAAAAGCAAAAGGTAAAGAATCTATTTTTACTATGTTATACAAATTCTCTCCCCTTCAGGTCTTAGCAATCACCATTTCTGAGAAAAAGAAAATAGAGAGCTCATACTGATCTCCATTTTCCATCCTATGCATTTATTCACAACCAAGCAAAGAGTTTAGAAAAGGTGACAGTGTATCAATGGCTTCAAGCAAAGTGCTGCTTCGTTTTAGTAAGAAATGAGTTTTTAACTACCATTTACCAAGTTATTCAGAAAAATAATTTTAAAAATTAATGGTAAATATTTCATGCTTAACAGACTTCAAACACAAACATTTCTTGTCTCCCAAATAAACAAATAGCATAATTTTAAATAGAGTTAATGATTTCTGCTCTCTTAGTGAGAAGAAATGCCTAAAAACTCATTATTTGGAGAAATGAGAAGATGTAAATCTTATTGTCAAGCGCTCAGCTCAATGAAATAAGAGGCTGGTTTACTGTGAACCAAGATATTTCAAATAGTTCCTGACCAAATTTGTTTCCTTTAATTTTTTTTTATAAATCTAAAATTTAATCTTTAGATTTGGCCTACAGTTCTCCAATGTGATAAATTATTAAACACCAACATACACAATTTAACTTGCCACAAGACGTATTTTGATCTCAAATAAAAACCTTAACTCTCACAGCAGAGACTGACTTTTCAACAGATGGCAAAGCACAGAATTAAGATGCTCTCCCCATTGATATGCTAATGGAGAAAAAAGTTGTTGAAAGAAGCCAGGACAAAAAGCTGAGGGCCCAGGGATCTGATTTTTGGTTCCACGGGACTTGTTATAGCTTACAAAGTTAGATGCTTTTGAATAAAAATTTCTCATTAAATAAAATACAGAAACTCTTATATGCACAAGGTAAAGAGAAGAGGATTAAGTGGCCCACACCCAAAGGCTACGTACTACCTACTATTGATTATGAATTACATACTGAATTCAAAAAGCATGTAATTAAGCACCATGCAAACCAGGGACACAAAGAGGATCTCCCTTGAGAGAGACTATAATCCAGTGGTAAGAGATATATAATGACAAGAATTACAAAACAATGATTTGAATGCTTCAGGAGGGATGAACCTTGTATGGGAGGCAGGGAAGGCTTCACAGGGGAAGTAACAGATAGGCATAACTAGGAGGTAGTAAGAGATTTTACTAAGTAAGGAGAGAAAGGAAAAAGAACAAACAGAATATGATCAAACAAATAACTTCCAATAGAAACAAGAAGAAGGTATGTTTTAAAATATATTTCCACTGCCCAATAGTAAAACTTATTTCAGACACAATGCATTACTGAGGTGAAATTAAAGTTACATAAATTGAAAACATCACACTGAAAAACACTTCATGGGTCTCAACCGAAGGTGGCACAGTCCAAGAAGGCATTTGGACATGTGTGAGTTGTTTTCTGGTTGCCCCAATGACCCTATCTGTGTGTTTTTGGGTGTCCTAACGACATACTGCAATGAATGGGATCATGATACACATTCAGAAATCGTTCCACCCAAATGTCCATAGGGCCCCTGTGGAGTAAGGTGCTAGTAGAATTCTGGCTAGCAGCCATGTAGCAATAGGGGATGGCCCTAGAAATACAAGAAAAAGGCAAATTCAAGCATTGTTGTGAGAAACAGGAATAAAATTATGAAGAACAAAACAAACCCTGCGGAGGTTTGAAAATACATTCACAAATTCTTTGATGCTCCTCTCTTTAAGAGGTGGAGTCTTGGGTGCAATGGCTCATGCCCGTATTTCCAGCACTTTGGGAGGCAAGACGGGCAGATCACATGAGGTCAGGAGTTTGAGATAAGGCTGGCCAAAATGGTGAAACCCCGTCACTGCTAAAAATACAGAAAAATTAGCTGAGTGTAGTGGCGCACACCTGTAGTCCCAGCCACTCAGGAAACTGAGGCAGAATTGCTTGAACCCAAGAAACAGAGGTGTGCAGTGAGCCAAGATCGTGCCACTGCACTCGAGCCTGGGAAACAAGGGTGAAACTCTGTCTCATTCACACACACACACGAAAAAAAAGAGGTGGAGTCTAATACCCTGTTCCTTGGGTATGCGCTAGCTTGTAATGAACAGAAAAATAGCGGAAATGATGTTGGGTACCCTGAGAAAAACAGGTCATAGAAGACACTGCAGCCTCCTTACTCTCTCCTTTGGATTGCTTGCTTTGGGGAAGTTAGCTACTATGTTATAAGGACAATCAATCAGCCAATAGAGACGTCCATGGCAGGGCCTTCTGCCAACAGCTATGTAACTAAGACAACTTAGAGGAGTGTCCTGCAGTCCCAGGTAAGCCTTCAGATGACCACAACCACAAGAGAAATCCTGATCCACAACCACTCAGTCAGCTAATCTGCTCCCAAAGTCAACAAAAGCTGCAAGATAACACGTTTATTGTTTTAAGCTATTAATTTTGACATAATTTGTTATGTAGCAATATATAATTAATGTACTCAAAATAAAATACAGGATTCTTTATTTTTAAAAGTTAAGGCCGGGCACAGTAGCTCACTCCTGTAATCCCAGCACAGGGTGAGCCAATCACCTGAAGTCAGGAGTTGGAGACCAGCCTGGCCAACATGGTGAAACTCCATCTCTATTAAAAATACAAAAAGTAGCCGGGTGTGGTGGTAATCCCAGTCACAGCTGAGGGACGAGAATTGCTTGAACCCAGGAGGCAGAAGTTGCAGTGAAGTGAGATTTGTGCCAATGTACTCCAAAAAAAAAAAAATAGCCAGGTGTGGTGGCACATGGCTGTAATCACTTGGGTGACTGAGGCAGAAGAATTGCTTGAACCTGGAGGTGGAGGATGCAGTGAGCCAAGATTATGCCACTGTACTCCAGCCTGGGTGACAGGGCAAGACTCTTGTCTCAAAAAAAAAAAAAAAAAAAAAGTTAAGAAAGTGTCATTAACTCATTTGTTATAGAATACATCACTTTGGGGGAAGGTGAGGAAGGAGTGGTTAGTATTAAGCCATTGTGAAAATACGATATTCCAAATCCATTAGTATGTTTTGAAATAATAAGTATTTTTTAAAGTTAGAAGTTGTTTAAACAAAGAGAAAAAAGTCTGATTAAACAAGCTTCCACAGTGTAAACAGAAGCTGAGGAATGGAATGCTGCATTTTTAATGTCCTTTTATAGCACTCTCTACCCTCTAACCTTTTCCTTAATACAGCAAAATTACGAACTCTTTGGCAAAAACTGTTTCCCATCCCGTGTGTCTCTCTCTCTCTCTCTCTCTCTCTCTCTCTCTCTCTCTCTCTCTCTCTGTGACCTTGGCCATTCAAGTTTAAAAAAAATTCAACTGTCAGTCTCAAGAAAGCTACTGACGAAGCTACATCCACTAACCTGGGTGCAAATATTTGGCAGACAGAGTGCAATTTTCACCATATCAGGCAAAATGGACTGATATAAATGTTGAGCTTCTGCTTCTTCAAGTACCTGAAAACCAATAAAATAACTTACATGAATAATAGTAACCAGTAAATATAATAACTAATGAATATGTTTGTTACGAAATGAAATTACACATCTGCTTTTCATGGAATCCTGTAAAGTGGGACACTGTCAGCATCACCAAACGTATGTAAAAGTACATCAACAGGTGTATAAAAATAAACTTACAAATTCATTTCCAAATGTACATCTGGCATTAAGGTAATTCACCTTAATGCTCTCTGAAAAAAAATAAGTATCCCAAATATCAAATACCCCTCACACAACATTCACAATAAAGTAAAACATTTGCAAATAGAAAACAGTACATTCTGTCCTTGGTTCTATCAACTAAAAACTGCTAGACCACCAAGGACTCTTTTAGAAGCCCCCAAAGATCCATCTAGCTTCAACAGTCTATAATTGAAATCTCCATAAGAGCCCCATTAATTACTTCAGAGAATACTCTATGGGTCAAATCTAATCCATTGGGTAATAAACAATGAGGTTTCTGATGGTCTTAGAATTTCTCGAATAGACACCCTTGGAAAATGAAAACCACAATTCCCATATCATAATTTGAAGCACACAAACATGCCACGTATGGCTCATTTTGTCTTTTGTAAAATTTCCCATCTCTACAACACCTTCTAATCTAATTTCTTTCTAGACATCAGAGTATTTCTTTAAAAGCAGTGGAAATGGCCAGGTGCGGTGGCTCACGCCTGTAATCCCAACACTCTGGAAGGCCAAGGCGGGCGGATCATGAGGTCAAGAGATACAGACCATCCTGGCCAACATGGTGAAGCCCTGTCTCTACTAAAAATACAAAAATTAGCTGGACGTGGTGGTGCGTGCCTATAGTCCCAGCTACTCGGGAGGCTGAGGCAGGGGAATTGCTTGAACCCATGAGGCGGAGGTTGCAGTGAGCCGAGATCAGGCCACTGCACTCCAGCCTGGCAACAGAGCGAGACTCTGTTTCAAAAAATAAAAAATTAAAAATTAAAAAATAAAAGTAGTAGAAATGACAACATTCTTAATTTAAAGATACTACATACACTGTCAAGATTTAAGTAAACACTTTATCTACTTGAAATCACATTTTAACTGGAAGAGGCCTCAGTTATAATCTAGCCTGATCTTGTCACTATTACAGAGAAAAGAAAACTAAGGCCAAGGTTACCTGATGATCCTACATTGAGGTCAATTAAAACTAACTCAGAACAAGAACCTTAGTGTTCTTATCTCTATGCCACAGCGTTTCCTACTTCTCTGTGTGACCAGTGTTTGGAATCGATGAAGAAACAGACTCTTGACAAAAATCAGAAACTAAGCTGAAATAAGGGTAAACCATGTATTTATCTGTAGGTGGACAGGGTATGTGTGTAAACAGAAAAAGTAACAAAGATGATTTGCTCTGATTTCGCTGGTAAATTCTAATGCTAAGAATTTTCCTTATACCAAAATTCTAAAACCCAACCTATGTTTACTTCCCTTTTAAAAATTAAGATAGTGAGTAAACACATTCAGAATGAACAGAAATACATTTACAATTCAGGGAGTTTGGAATTCAATTAATCATAAGCATATAGAAAATTAAGTAAGTAAACAAAAGACAATTATTAATTCTGGAGAAAACAAAAGGTTGTACAAGAGAGGAAAACCAATCACAGCCCAGGTATGAAGAGTGTTTATACTATCCAACTGAAAAAACAGAATATTGATGTAATTGAAATAAATATAAAAACAATCGTGAGAAAATGGGGAGGTAGAAATGAGGTTTGCATTTATGGTAGTGAGGAAGATGAGAATAATAGCTAAATCCTCATCTTCTAAAGTGGATTTTTTTTTTTTTTTTAATAAAAGGTAAAACATAAAGAGTTTAGAGTAGTCAAATGGCTCCCTCTATAATCTGCCTCTTTAACTCAAAACTGAATTTTTTAAAAATCATACATTCATAGACAACATTTGACGATTTTAGAAGTACGCACTGAAGATACTGGCTTCTCTATACCTGAACATGTGTAAAATATATTAATGCATTTGTTTAAAATATTCAAACTCGGCCAGGCGCAGCAGCTCAGCCTGTAATCCTAGCATGTTGGGTGACTGAGGTGGGTGGATCACAAGGTAAGGAGATCCAGACCATCCTGGCTAACACTGTGAAACACCATCACTATTAAAAATACAAAAAATTAGCCAGGTGTGGTGGCATGCACCTATAATCCCAGCTACTCAGGAGGCTGAGGCAGGAGAATCACCTGAACCTGGGAGGTGGAGGTTGCAGTGCAGTGAGCTGAGATGGCATCACTGCACTCTAGCCTGGGTGACAAAGGAAGACTCTGTCTCCAAAAAAAAAAAAAAAGAAGAAGAAGAAGAAGAAAAAAAAAATTAAACTCTTCATGTTTATAATTCATCTTTTTCTTTTTCTTTCTTCCCCCCCAACCCCCAAATAGAGACAGGGTCTTCCTCTGCTGCCCAGGCTGGAGTGCTGTGAGATAACCACAGCTCACTGTAACCTTGAACTCCTGGGCTCAAAAAATCTTCCTGCCTCAACCTTCTGAGTAGCTAGGACTATAGATAGGCCTTTTTACTTTAATTGTTGTTGTTGTTATTTAGTCTATATTTCACAATCATAAACTTAACTCTGCAATCCAGCTAGGCATGGAAAGGAACAAGAAAAACATGGAACCCAAAGGGAATTGCAGCGAGAGCACAGATTTTAGGATACAAATGGGGTGGAGGGGTGCTCTCCTGAGCTATAGAAGGAATGGTCTCGTGGTTAAGATAAAACGTAAGCCAAACTTATCAGAGCTGTCCACAGTCAGCAATGGTAATCTTCTAACTGGTCTTGCCATTCCTGGACCCAAAGTGCTCCCTGGCATCTACAATACTCATGTCTTCTTTCACCTTGCCAAAGACCACATGCTTGCCATCCAGTCTTGGCAGTGCAGACGAAAAACTGGGAACCGTGAGTTGGGTCCAGCATTTGCCATGGACAAGATGCCAGGACCTATAAGCTTTAGGATGAAGTTCTCATCATCAAATTTCTCCCCATAGATGGACTTGCCACCAGTGCCATTATGGCATGTGAAGTCACCACCCTGACACATAAATCCTGGAATAATTCTGTGAAAGCAGGAACCCGTATAACCAAATCCTTTCCAGTGCTCAGAGCACAAAAGTTTTCTGCTGTGTTTGGAATCTTGTCTGCAAAGCGCTCAAAGGAGATGCGGCCCAAGGGCTCGCCATTGATGGCAATGTCAAAGAACACAGTGGGGTTGACCATGGCTGATACTACAAGGCTCCAGGTGGTGGCAGCAACTGCAAAGCCGTCTTTTTACTTTTTAAAACTTTATTCTGAAATAATTATACATTCACAGGATGTTACAAAAATACTACAGAGGTACAGTATACCTCTCACGCAGTTTCTCTCAATGGTTCTATTTTAGATTACTATAACACACTAAAAATCAGGAATACCAGTACAATGTGTGTGTGTCATTCTATGCCATTTTATCACATGTACATTTGTGGAACTGCCACCAAAATCAAGATACAGAACTATTTCACTACAACAATGATCTTATACCACCCATTTATAGTCACACTCAACTTCCTTCCTCTCACTATTCAACACCTAACAATCACTAATTTGTTTTCCATCTCAAAAATTTTGCCATGTTACATAAATGGAAACATATAAGTCCTTTGAAATTGACTTTTTAAAAATACATCTTAATGCCCTTAGGAGCCATTCAAGTTAAGTATCAATAGTTCACTCCTTCTCATTACTAAGTAGTAGTCCATGGTATGAATATAACAGTTTGTCTAGCAATTCATCTAGTGAGAGGCACTTTGGTTGTTTTCATTTTGTACTATCATAACTAAAGCTACCTTTTACTCTCAACTTACCTATAACTGTTGTCTGAAATTACTTCCTGTAAATAGCACACTGTGTCATCTTTAAAACTTACTCTGTCTTTTAATAGATGAATTTAGGTCATTTATGTTTAATGTAGTCTTTGATATGTTGAAACTTAAATCTGTTATTTCATTTCTTTTATCTGTTTCATTTTCCCTTCCTCCTATGGGTTACTTAAACATAGTTTAAAATTCCATTTTTGTTTATCTACAATGTTTTTGATTGTATCTCTTTGAATAGATTTTTTTTTTATAGTGGCTGCTGAAGGACTGCATTACATATAACTTATCAACATTTACTGGTGTCAACATTTCATCAGTTCCAGTAAAGTACAGACTTTACCTTCCTTTAAGTTCCTTTACCCCTCTCCAATATTTCTTCTACATATATTGATAACTACACTAGACTTTTACAACTGAAAACAGTGCAAAAAGTCAAACACAATACACAACATTCAAAAAAGTTTTTCTAAAGTTTGTTATATTTACTATATTTTTACACTTTATGTTGTTCTTTCTTCTTTCTTTATGTTCACTATTCCTTTCTTTTATAGTTTCTTTGCTGTTTCAGGAAATTTCTTTAGACATTATTTTATGGTAGGTCCACTGATGACAAGTTCTCTTTTCCTTCACCTGAGAACACTGTGGTTTTCCCCTCCTTCCTGTTCAAACTATATGTTAATTGGATATGGAATTCTGAGTTGACAGTTCTTTCCTTAGTCCTCAAAATTTTCTGCCACTTCTTTCTGGCCTCCATGTTTGCTGATGAGAAATCCACTGTCATTCAAACTGTTTTTCTGTACAGGTGTTGTGTCATTTCTCTCCTGCTGTTTCAAGATTTTTTCTTTGCCTTTGATTTTAAGAAATGTGACTACAGTATATCTTGGCATGAATTTCTTTGGGTTTATCCTACTTAAGTTTCAGTCAGCTTCTTGAAACCATAGATTTATGACTTTTACCAAGTTTTCAGCCATTATTTTTTTGAAAATTTTTCAGTCCTACCCTCTTTCCCCTCTCTTTCTGTCCAGATGATGATACAAATGTTATATCTGAACTCTGGGTTTTGATTTTCATCTATTTTC